AGGATCTTTGAGCTGCAGAAGAAAAAGACTTGGCAAACATTAGGTATATGACAAACCCTTCAGGCCATAAAATCTTATTAGAAGGCAAATCACAACCTTCCAACCCTTTTGAGATTGATTTGCAGCTAGGAAATCTGTAGAAAATTGATGCAGTGTGGAACACCTGCTTTGTATATACAAATAAATGCAATTATATTACTCCCTTACTCCCCCCGACCTTTTTTTTTTTTTTTACGTTGACACAGGACTAAACAGGAGAGAAATGATTCACAAGAGGCCACCATGCACAATGTCTTATTGGTCCAGGTGTTCATGACATTTTTATGTAAGTAAATTAAACCCAGTGGAGATTAGTCTTGACAAACTTTTCATTGGGACAGCATAGGACTCTCACAATATTGGTTCAGTCGTAGCTGCCGCTGGCAGAAGAACACTGCCAGATTCAACAAGCTTCTGACTTCTAGACCACTGCTCACATGTGAACATGTTTCTGTGTCCCAAGACCCTTTATGAGGGCTCTTTCTAAATTCTAATTATGTGGATTATGTTATAGGCATTTCTAAATCCTTCACAGACACTGTACTTTCATTATATATTTTATATGCCTGCTCGTTACTGTATATTATCATATTGCATGTATGTCATATTATTATGTAATGACATGAATATATTATGATCATACTTAAACAGAACAGATCAGTTTTATTTCATAGAATGGTTTGGGTTGAAAGGGGCCTTAAAGACAATCTAGTTCCCACCTCCCTGCCATGGGTAGATACACCTTCCACTAGAGGTTACTGGAAGTCCCATCCAACCTAGTCTTCAATACTTCCCGGGATGGGGTATCTACAGCTTCTCTGGGCAACCTGTTCCAGTGACTCGCCAACCTCACAGTAAAGAATTTCTTGCCCATATCTGATTTAAACCTAACATCTCTCAGTTTGAAGTCATTACTTCTTGTCCTACCACTATCTGCCCATGTAAAAAGTCACTCTCCCTCATTTTTATAAACCCCCTTTAGGTACTTGAAGGTGCTATAAGGTCTCCCCAGAACCTTCTCTTCTATGGGCTGGACAACCTGAACTCTCTTAGCATTTTGTCACAGGAGAGGTGCTCCAGCTGCCTGGTCATTTTTATGGCCCTGCTGTGGATTTGCTCCAACAGGTCCACATCTTTCTTGTGCTGAGGACCCCACAGCTGGATGCAGTACTCCAGGTGGGGTCTCATGAGAGCAGAGTAAAGAATGACCTCCCTCAACATGCTGGCCACGCTTCTTCTGATGCAACCCAGGATGTGATTGGCCTTACAATTATATTTCTAATATAATTGACTGAAATAACAGTATTACAGGAAATGGTTCTGCCCAGATGCAATATAATATGAAAAACCTGTATCTTTCATAAAATAAATCACAAACTGTTCAGCAGGAAAACTGTGAAAGTTCCTGCAAAAGAATTAAAAAATGGTGCTCTCACTGATACAGATCTGGCATTGAAGTAGCAGACCATGGCAGTCCACTAAAGTCTGCATCCTTGTGTATGACAAGACTGGGAATGCCTGTCTCCAGATTTTCTCCTGCTGCTGGCAGGCAGGGTCTCATGGAGCAGAGCAGCTACAATTTGGGTGGAAGAAGAATTAAGGCTTGCCATAGCTTGTGGTGAAAAAGAAACCCTCAAAACTTTTTCAAGTGGTTTTAATCAACACAGTATTGCCTTCAGAGAGAGTCTGCGTTTTTTAAAGCCCTTGAGCATTTGAGAGAGAGACTCTAAACATGAACCACTGGTCTTTTACCTAAACCTTCCCATGGGACACAAAAAGAATACACAAAACTCCCAAAAGCAACATTAGCACTGGAGGAAGGGAGGAGAGCAGGGAGCATCAGCAGGTAAGACCTGAATCTTGTAATTGAGGAAAATGGCCTAGACAAAGAAAGGAAAAAATATGTCAGAGAAAGATAGGAAGAAAACCCAAAAGCTTCAATAGCCTTGACTTAATGGTGAACTTATCCTTCCGTTTGGTAAGGCTGAACACATTGAATATTATATAGAGCAAATGATAATATAAGTGGAAATTTTCTTCCTCCCTGGGAAGCCTATATATTCAGTAGATTTACGCTGCTGCTCAATATGTTTAACCCAGAAACAGGCAGTTTCTCTGTAACATGCCTAATGATCTTTGTGTAAATACCACTAAGCAACAAAGAGAGTGTAGAGTTATTGATATGCAATCCAGTTCACAGCTGAACACACCTGTAAGATAAATTCAGCTTTGTTACTGCAAATTCTCAAGGAGTCATCTAGCTTTAATGTAAGGAAGGTGCATTTCTCTTCTTTCTCATGTATTAGAGAAAGATTTCTTTCTCTTCCCCTAAATAGGGACATGAAATGCTAAAAGCATTGCAAAAGCAGAAACCTCAGAAACAATGCAGATTTCACAGAGAGCATTTTCAGTCAGCTCTCTCCTCAGTTTGCCAGATGCAACCATCCAAGTGTGCGGAGTCTGAGTGCCAGTCAGTTGGTTGTCCTCAGCATGTAAATTGCCTGCATGGTAGTTTCAACACACTCCTCTAAATTTCTCTGTCTGAGTTTCACTTTCGATTCCTAAGGTGATTATTTCAATTCGCAGGCCAAAATCCATCAGATCCCTTTCATTTTCTGAAGCTACACCCACATACTCCCCACAAACTTAGGAACATAGAATTTGTCTGCCCCTTTCTATTTCCTGACTGCACCAGAGACTGTTCTATGTACTTGCTTATTTAGGAACAACTCAGAATATGTAGCTTTGTACTACAAACTAATTTTTATAATGATGATCCCAACTAATTTCCTGTTATCAGTACACACTGATGTCTCAGGGGCATGACCAAGTTCTCAGTGCCCAGTGAATCCCAGCATGTCATTTGAGCTGTAATAAGGGTTTTGTGTGCATGGTGTCAGGCTGTTGAAAAAAGGAGCTGACATGTAATAGCTATAACCCCAGTGAAAGAAAGCAAAGCTGAATGTATCTTGCCTTGTATTTGCCAAGGAGTTCGGATATGCTGGAGTAACTTTCTGCATCTCAGCTGTTACTTAGCTCCTTCGTAGCTCAGTTGTGCATTTTGATCTCAGAGCTGATTTTATTTCAACAGAAAAATGAACAGGGGACTGGAACAGGAGAATTCTCCAGTCAGATCAGGAGGAGCAAGCAGAGCCCACACAAACTCTCTTATCTTCACTAGTATTCTGCTCTCTCACGCTGCCCTGTCACAAACATCCCCAGAGCTTTATCTTCTGTCAAAACATGTCCAGCCAGTTTCCAACTCTCTCCACAAGATTTGCTGCAGAAGCCCCTGACCTTGCAAGCTCCTTTTCATTACCCTTAAATCTGTGACTTCCTTAGGACCACCACTGAGCCACCACCAGTGTCTGAAGAAGACTGTAAGAACTGATTTTTCCTTAAGCCGCAATGCCCACACATGCCCAGACTCTAGGAGCTGCCTTTTCCAAGCAAAGAAATAAGACTAAGGAGAAACCACTCCAAGTGTGAACTTTTTGTCCCATAGACTCTGCCTCCACAAATATAACAAGACCTTTAGTCCTCTCCAGTGAAAGTCTGAGATGCTGGTAACATATAGACTATTTCTGAACCGGTACTTCTTGATACTGAGCTGTGCAATACTGTTTTCTCTTACATGCCTTGTAAGTCAGGCACGAAACATTTCTGGTTCCTCTAGTGCCATGGTTCAGTTTGAAGGCTTACTCCAAATCATTGTTTTTCCACATACTGTTGTTCTGAGCCTTATTTTTTTTCACTGCAGACCAAGTCCAGTTTCTCTTCCATAGCCCTGGCTGCCACTTCCAGCACCAGCCTATAATTTCTCCGTTGTTTGCATATCTGTGTATTAAACTGACCTACATCTCCTTCTAGGGAGTGGGCAGCAGATGGTCCGTAGGTGATCTGGCATGTCAAGATGCTGCCTGAGTGGCTTGTGGGTCACAGAAGCGGGAAATACTGGTAGCTGCATAACCAGTGTGCAGCTGAACTCCCTGGGGAGCACCCTGCTTGTTTGTGTCAACAACTTTGGGCCAACCTGAGCTGGCAGGGTAACATGCAGAAAGTGGGTCAGGCAGCTTACCTTGAAAGCAATAAGAGCACTTGTTGGGAGCTGCTAGGATTGGGGGGCAGCTACACCAGCCTACTCCATTAGCATTGCTGCCTCAATGGGAGAAGCTGGTCAATTCACTGGAGGAGCACCGTGATGGCTGGTGCTGGAGCCCTTTTTCCATGAGGGGAGGTTGGGGGAAGTGGGATGTTCAGCCTGGAGAAGAGCCAGCTTTGGAGGAGATTATCAAAAGACAGAGTCAGGCTCTTCATACAGGTGTAAAGTGGGAGGACAAGAGGCAAAAGACACAGTCTGAAACAAGGGAAGTTAAGGCTAGGTATAAAGAGAAACTTTCACCACCATGACAGTCAGGCAGGAGAACAGGTTTCCCAGAGAGGTCATGCAGTTTCTGTCTGTGGAGGTTTTTAAGACTAATATAAAGCCCTGAGAGACCTGGTTTGAGATCACAGATGAGCTTGCTTTAAGCAAGAGGTTGAACTAGAGGCCTCCTGTGGTCCCTTCCAGCCGGTGAGTCTGTGATTAAGAATCAATCTGTTTTTAACAAATCCTGCCCAAATCCCAGGTTGCAAAGGGCAGTCACAACTGGGAGTTCACATTATGGAATGCCATCCTAGTCTTTGCGATACAGACAGAAAAATTCAACCAATTTTGACCAATCCATAGTCAATACAGACAAATTTCACACCACACAACAAGTCAAGCAGTTGAGGGATTAAGACTTAAATTTGAAGGGTAGCAGCCATGTAAGTATCCTTCCTTAATTTTCTCTTTCAGAGGGCTCGAGTCTCTAACCTCTTGTGCTATCTCTGTCAGAGCAGGGAATAGCCAACATAGCTAGCTTACACTGCCAGCCAGCAGGCAGCTTCCCTGTGCACCTATCAGAGACTGTCCCCTACAAAGTGTGCACTCAGTCCCTGCAGTGCTTGCTCCTGCTGTGTCACTCTGTCCCTCCCTCCTCATTTGGTCTTCCTATCCCTCTTCCCTCAGTGGCAAGATTACAGAGGCAGTGTCCTGTTGCTGGTGTGCCCTTGTCTGAGATTTCTGCTTGACTTTTTTTTCTCTGCTCAGCTCTTCTCTTTGCTCTGGTAAGTTAGATGAACAGCTTCCTTACAGTCACTGCTTGATGGCATGGCACAAGGGCTTTAATGTGAGTACTTCCCTTTTGGATTGTCAGCACACATTTTCTAGGAATAACCTTAAAAGCCTGGGCACTGTGTGACACCTGAGGAAAATGGGCAAGTATCTAGGGTTGTTGGTGAAAGTAAGAAATGCTTGAGTGATCAAAAAATTTTGAGATTATTTTGGTAGAGCTTGCCTTGAAGTGAGACAACGGGCCATGGCTGGTTTGCTACAACAGTAAGTGATCAAGACTCAGGTGCTGAACGTGAGGTGAGGCAGGGGACTTCAGAAAGTCTCTGAGTCTGTTTCTGAGCCTGTATGGAAACCTGCCATGAAACCTCCAAACTTTTGTTCAGTTTCGTACTAGAAAATTGTGTATAAATCATAAAGCTATTCAAATGTAACATGTAGCTGGCTTTATCATCATTTTCCGAAGTAACACATAGGGTGGTGTCTAGACTATAAAAAGGTACTTGTATTTTTCTGGAGAGTAATTGGAGCTACAGTAGTGTGGGCCATTCCAGAGTTTCATGTTTTCTGCTTTGACATGTTACTGTAGTTGTCTAGTGTTATGTCAAGGTAAGAATTCTGATTTTATCAGCATATGTTCACTGCAAACATACAAGTGTATGAAAAGCTTTGTTTTAGAGAATTGTGTGAATATGTGAATTTTGAGCATAAAGTGCTGAGTACCCATCCCATTACCCATTTTAGAAATGCTTAAAATAGCTCCTGGCTGCAGAGCAGGTGCCATGTGTCCTTCTGCTGGATACATGAGGAGGCAAAAGCTAAATATAGAACAGTTTGTAAAACCTCTAGAAGGAAAGGGAGAAACAAATTCCATGAAAAAGAAGGGGAAGCACACTGTCTAACAAAGATAAACAAAGCTCTGTGACAGTCTTTAAGACAACCTGCAAGAGAAGCTAAGAAGAAAACATTTAATTTTTGCTTTATTTATGCCAGGAGTGTGCCTGGGCAGCAGTGTTGGCTCCAGTGGTGCGAGGTGGGCTGGTGCAGCCCAGCATGGGAACAGTTTCCCCAGCAGCAGAGGGATGGCTGTTGCAGCTCTGCTAAATCAGTCATTGACTCTTGCCTATTGACCTTTTACTTTGGAAATACCGGCTGTTGTCAAAGCACAGTGAAGGCAAGTTGTGCTGCAAATGTGAAATATTAAGGGATATGATCAGAGACAAACAAACTCAGCATGTAACGAGACTGATCTGAGCAGCACACCTTTCGCTGTTGCCTCTGAGTGCAGCTGCAGCTATGCTGTATGCTCAGCTATTCTGAGAGCTCTGTTGCTCTCCTGGGTTTTCCCAAGTTTTTAAAAGAGGAAGGAGGAGAAGGCAGAAGAGTCTTTCTCACAGAAGTGAGGCAGCAACACCCTCTGGCTCTTGAGGGTGTTTCCCGTTGCAGCAGAGGAGGGCCACAGTGACTATCTGTTGGCAGCAACCACAAGTGTCTGGGGTCAAGTTTCCATCCAAAGCACCAGGGCCAAGAAAGGTGCTGATCTCAGAGCTGTGGAACAGGTCCACAATTTGGGAACATAGGAGGAAAAGAGTAAACAAGATGCAGTCGTCAGACTCTGTCAGATAACTGGTCAGTCCTCCTCTTTGCCATAAAACAGGATAAGGCTGTGTTGGAAATTCAGGTGCCTGGAGGCAACAGTAGTGGTAGTAGGAGCTGCAAAACTCAAGAGGTGGGTAGTGTAAAATTAGGCAAGTCTGAGAAACCAAAGAATTCCTCTACTGGACTCAGTCACCTAATTTTTAGGCATTACTGTGTCTAAGATAGTATATAATGTAAACACTTTGCGTCTTGGTGAAATTGGCACTGAAAGTCTTTTATGGCCTGATAAGGTAGAATTTCTTATCTGCATCAAGCTTAAACAGGCTGGAGCATGAGGAGAACCAGGGCCAAATGCAGTAAAATCTCCCAGCGTCAAAGGCTGTAAGCAGGCAACTCTCAGCAGATGAGAGCTGCCCTGTCTCCCTCAAAATAAACTCCATGATGCTGTGGAAGCTGTTGTGCAAAACAAGGTACAGAAGTCTTCACGGGCATTGTGTTTGTGCTGGAAAGAATTTATCAGACCTCTGGTTTAGCCTGAAGAAGAACAAAGTAAAACATTTGGATATTTATTTGTGTGAGTAAATACAATCCCCGGTATGACCCAGCAGGTGGGCATCCTTGGGTTAAAGGTTCATCGCTGGGTGTTTATGAGGTTCCTGCCTGCTCACCATTCTGGGCTGGTGGACAGGACCTCAGCAGATGCACGTTTCTATGGTTTCAGAGATTGATTATAACTAATCCCCTTCTAGCTAGGAATGTATGTTAGGGATGATTTCCTGCAAGGCCAGCTTGTAAACATCTTGTGTCCTTGATTCTAAAAATCCAGTTTCTCTTTCATTCACCCATGCTTTTCCCTTATTACTGAGCAACACCCTGCATAGATCGATTGCCACTGTTGATTTAAAACCTACTGTATTTGCAGGCATACTTCGTGTTTAATGTAAGAGGAAACCGTTAGCCAGACAGTGCTGCTCCGTGAGAGATGAAGTTGGGAGTTGGGAGGCACCTAAGGGAGAGAGTCAGGGTGTGGTGAGAACATCAGTTTGTGCCTTCTTACAGAGAGAGGGAGATAGTCAGAAGAGAAGTTCATGTTTGGAAATGGAACATTTTGCAATCCTGTTCTCCTTCTGTGATGAACATATTAAAAAAAAAGAGAGTTTTGTTCTACCTAAACAAGAGCTGGTGATCTTGGGTTTTCTAGCTGATTGATTCCAACTGCCAATTAGCTCAAATTAATGATTACAATTGTAAACACTAGACTGAACATGTCAGAGATAAACACATACTTTGTGGAGCTTCTAGCTTGGCATTTACAATACTCTCAGTGACCATGAATTATTTGGCAATCAATTAACCCTAGTTAAAAAAAAGATCATAAACTGCAGGCTAATATTCATGCTATCTGGAATTATTTACCTAAATTGCATACATAGGGTTTAATGTTTCAGTGTAAGTTAAACTCAATATGACATCAAATCAGACAGATATAATTTTACAATCATTTTGTAGTGATATCATGACAATGCCACAAGGAGGACAGAATGGGATGCAACTGTCTGAAGGGTCTGTGAGACAAGGTCCAGACAACTGCCTAAGCTATTTCTGCTGGCAAGTTGTACCTATGGGAGGACTGCAGGGGCATGGATTTATAGCTAAGAGTTTTCAAGCACATCCTGAGCCCCACTCAAAATTTTCAATTATTTGCTTGAGAGATGATAACTTGTTTGACTATCTTATCTGCAAGCCTAGTCATATAGAAAATCAAATCTTGAAAAATGTTGTTTAACGATGGCCATCACTGCACTTGCAAACATCACTTTGACTGGGGAGAGTTTAATAACAAACACCAAGTCATTTATTACAGTAAATGACGTCTCTCTTATCTTATACCACCTTTGGCCATGCTAGTTTACAATTTTGAAAGCTGAAGAAATTTAGACACTATAGAAGATATATGTTAACAGCCTGCATGAACAGGGAACAAAATGCTTCCCAGTTAGCTCCATGTTTTCAAAGCAAGTTGTCTTTTAAAAAATAAGAAAGGAACTGCTTCAGATGCTGGAACAGAACCAACTAAGCAAGCTTCTTCCTTTCGTCCTTCCCCACTGGCACCATTGTAAATCATATCATTAAAGAGAGGAAAAAAATCAGCCTGAAGAAGACCGAGAAAGATGGTTGAAAAGAGTATAGTCTGCGGTCAAGCAGAAGTAGGGGCTAGTTGCAGAGCAAGGCCGATCTGTGCACCTCCCACCTCTGCACTACTTCTTGAGGGCAACATAGTAGTGCCAGCAGCTCTGCTGGCACTCTGAGAGGGAAGGAGCCTTCTCTACACTGAGTTTTTTAGCTACATGCAGCTTCTGCTGGCCCATACCTTGCAGCAGCTGGGAGCAGGTGCCCAGGATGCTCTTGCTGACACCCTCATTGCCAGGTTCTGGGTAAACTGGAGCAGGCTCTGAAGAAACACAGGTATGTTTTTGACTTTGTATTTGCCTGGCTCAGTGCAGCTGCTCAGAGACATGAGAAATCAAAAGCTTCCCTTTGCAAACTGGGAATAAATTAGCTGAAATGCATCCTGGAAAACACTATGGACTATCAAACCATGTTATGTCTGGTTGGTTTAATTTCACTGTGATTTATTCTTATTTTTGTACTTTGTCAAAAAAGATGTCAGCAGCACGCAGCAAGTACAAGAGAAGGGTGGTTTAGAGTTGTTTATCTTATTCTTTGCTGTTATTGTGACAGTACCAAACCAGGTCTCTTGTACATCAAGCACCATGCTGGGCTTTCCAAGGGCACAGGACAAATTTCAGTCCACCAGTTTCATTTAAAATATTTTTCATGATTATTGACTTAACATGTGCTGACAGGGGAAAAATAGGAAATGAAACTAATGCAGCTCTGAAGTGAAGCTGCCTATACCGGTAGCCAGCGTTGCAGGTAAACAGATCAAGAAAAGTAAACATGTGGCAAATGGTGTGTTCAGGAAGGAAAATGGTATAAGTGACTCAGGTGTCATTTCATCTGTCATTGCTGGCAATGGGAATAGGAGGTTTTCCATTTTCAAGTGATAGATTTCAGTAGGTTTTTCTCTTGGAAAGTATATAATTTGCTTTTCTCCTTGCAGGCAAATCACCTTGGTTATTTATTTAAGTGTGATATATTTATCAAGCCAGAGCTAATGGATGAGATGCCATTTCAAATTTCACACAAAATCGCTCACATGTTGGCCAAGCTTTGGGAACAGTTCGATGACTAATTCTGTGTGCTTTTAAGTTAACCCTCCATTTGTTTGCTGCCAGGTACTGCACTAGGAATGGAGAATGACCAGTCTCCGACATCACCCGCGCAGGATACCCAGGGGCAGAGTGGGGACAGACCTGCCCCTGGCTTGGTGTCCCCTGCTCCAGTCCCCACAGAGCAGCCAAGTGCCTGGCCTGAAGCAACCATGTGTGACATCTCAGAGGAGTTGAGCCGGCAGCTGGAGGACATCATTAAAACTTACGGGTCTGCCACGAGCCTGATGGAGAAGGAAAACACTTCTACAGGAACTGACAAGCCTAAGAAGGGAGAGCAAGGCAGCTTGGAGGATGCTGAGTATGAAGATGGAAATGAGGAGAGTGAGAAAGAGAAGCTGACTCCTGGAGATGCTTGCAGAGCAAAGGAGCCCAGCAGCAACAAGGAGCAAAAGCTAGAGAAGAAAATCCTGAAAGGACTAGGCAAGTATTTACATACGCAGCCCTTCTGCAAACACAAGTAAGAACTCCCTGGTCCTTACTCTTTTCCATTTTAAGTCTCTGCCATGGATAATAGGAACCTTCAGTTACCACTGAAAATTACAGTGACCATTACAACTTTTCTCTAACTAATAATTATTTTTGGTATTACCCAACATGTAGGCTGGAACAGATATTAGTCCTTTTGAAAAGGAAAGAGCTTAGGATTGTATCACACAAATCTAATGTACTACTGGGCCGCCCAAAGTGGTTATCCATAGCTGTCAGTCTGACAACACTCTGCACAAAGTCACTTCTCAGACAAAGGAAAACCCAGTCTCTCATTTGTGCCTCAGTAAATTTTTCTTTTCCTGCTTCCTCAGGTATGACTACTCACCAGTCACAAAGGTGCTAATGGTGCTACTATGTGGTGTGGGAACCTGCAGAACAAATTCACTGTCATGCCCAGGTTATTTTTGATTTAGCAAATTTTAGGAAACCTCTGGACTCATTATGGACTATGTGAAATAAACTAATATATTTATTCTCTCTAAGCACAGTGCTTAGAGAGCACTTCAGCCCTGGCGGGGCTGTTAGCTGAGCTAGAAAGAAGTCTCAGCAAGTTTTTGTATAGCTTGTCCTTTTTGCTGGGCAGCCACTAGAGAGCAATGTAGTTACATTCCAATCTAACAAACATGTAATTTATTTTCCTTCCTGCATTTAACTCTGGCCAATCTTAAAGCTTCTGCTTTGCATGAGAACCCAAACCCAACCACAGACTAAGCCTGTAGAGAGATAACCACAGAATGTTCTTATAGGCAAGACACTAAGCATAGGACAGATTATAGATTTTTTTCCCAAATTCCTTGAATTTCCAGAAGAAAGTTCCTCAGTTTCTATTGCCTTGGCTTTGGTGCAGTTATTGGTACCCCAGCAAGCTTACTGAAAACCCTACCAACACACAGTGCTCCAGTTGCACTTGCAACAGTTTTCACATTAGGATTTGATTTTAGCTCTCTTCAACTTATTTATACAGATGCTGTAGAGAGAATTTAGTGTGAAATAAAGGATTTTCTCCACTGACAGTACTTCTGGACTGCACTAGACTCGAAATGGAAAAAGTCCAGCCTAAAGCAGAAAACAGATTTTGTCTCACAGCCTTGGGAAAGGGGAGCATTTGGAAAAGCATGTCTAAGCCCCTGGCACCACAGCCAACCTTATTTCCAGGGATGCCAGGGACACTTTGATGAACAAGCAGTGTTCAAGCTCAAGCTCATGCTTGGGGCTGAAATGAATACTGAGAGGTATCAGAGGAGAAGCAATACTTAAATGGCTATGCAGTGATTTAGCTATTCACACCCCAGAGAGTTATTAGACTTTCTCTGGTATACATACTCTCTTCACCAACTCATGGAACTGATTTACACGAGTATCGTGTAGCCCAGACCTGGCTGGCAGTACCTACTACTCTCTGATTGTTGACTTCCACACCACAGTCTCCATACCTAACTTAATCTTCCTTATGTCATGTATGAGTTGAGCAGCAAAGGAGCTGAGTACACCAGTTCTGATCTGCTTTCACTTGCAAAGAGATCTATTCCTGGGCCTTCGGGGTCCAGGGCCTTTCTCTCCCTATTTCAGTCAAATGTGCCATGTATATGACCTAAACATGTTGCAAAAACATTCAATGAAAATCAGATTACACAGGACAAAAGCATCTCACAGATAATGCTTTTGCTAGAATAGAGCACATTACTGAGGTCTGAAATGGAGGAAGATTCTAGCAGGCTTGTTCTTATGGGGAAAACCCTAGAAGTTCATAGCAAAAAATATTCCTTTCCTTCCAAAATACCTTATTTCTCTCTGAGTTTTTCCAGATCCATGCATCAAACAACCAATTTCATAACAGAACATCAACCAAACTACCATCAAATCTCCTCTTCTTCTTTTTTGAAGGAAAAGAAGCCACCCTACTGATGCAAAGCTTGAATAAACTGAATACTCCAGAAGAGAAGTTGGACCTGTTGTTTAAGAAGTATGCTGAGTTGGTTAGTACAGTATTGGTTCTTTTCTGTACAATCTGTCCATACAGGAAGGTATAAAAAACTTGTCATGCAGCATGGTCAAATCTCATGTAATAGTACTGTCTGTTGTGCTAAATGAATCCCAAAATAATTGTCATGGTCAAATGATTATGGGTAAGATGGAGAAAAAAAAGTAAAAAGTGAGGAAAACAAGCTGAACTTTGGGTCAAAATGTTGGTGAGGCAGAATGTTCATGCTTAAAAGCAAATCTACCAAACTGACCTACACTGGAGACTAATGTCTAGGCTTCTGTCTTCACCTTCTGCAAGGAGTTTTGCGTGCATCTGTAAGTGATTATTTCTTTAAATTACGTATCAATCATTTAATTAAAATGAAAATAATACAGGGCTTAGTATAAAATATTAGGAAGCAGATAATAGACTACTGGAGCTAATCGTAAGAGAAAACACAACACGATGAAATGAAGAGTCAAAGCCTCTGCCAACATGACATCATCCCTATAACAATGCCTCCTACCCAACTCTGTTCTTTCCACACTGATGATGGGTTACTTTCAAATTAATTTTTTTTCTGAGTAGTCAAAGGACTGTATGAGCATAAGCTGTGAAAATCTTTCAAATGAAAAGGCTGCAGCATTTTACAGTTTGTGGAGTGCTGAAAAATGTGCCAAGCAGATCATTGACTTTGTAATTGGTTTTATGCACAGATGTGTCCATGTCTCATCATAATGTGAAGTTTAACTTTCCCTTTTTTCACATGAAATCCTCTGTTCATGGTTTATCTCATGCTTAAAGGGAATTCATGCTCTCAGATTAACTGAAATAGGTCTTCTTCCTCTATAAAGTACTCTTCACTGCATTCAAACAGCATTGCAGCAATGTATAAAACAGGGACCTTATTTCCAGTAACCCATGCAGGAGAAAGGTGCTAAAACAAAAATACTGAGCATTTGTTTTTGACATACTGTGCAATGTCACTGAAATAAATCATTCAATAAATACAACTAAAAGCTTGTTGGAGAAAGCCTTACACTGCTCACTCAGCGTGGCTGAGGGATGTAGCGTGATTAATAGCTTGTCAGCTCTCTCTGCTCCCTCTTGTCTATCCCCATCACACACTTCAGATCACATCTTGTTTTGCTGAGTTGTTTTCCATCCAGATCAGCCCCCTGGTCTGGTGGGCCATGTGGTGACACAAACACTTGTTGCACCACAGGTCACAGGAAGGTGTAGCCATGTGGCAGATTGAGCTTCCCCTGCTTTAGGTAGTGTTGGGGCTGGCTGTGGCTTAAGAGGTTCCTCGTACTTGGGGACCAATGCAGCACCAACCCTTCCACATGGCCAACCAGCAATATGTTATTTATCTGTCAGCACATGCCCTGGCACAGTCTGTAGTGACTGTGAGTACACAACAGAAGGCATCAGGGAAGAGCATAGGCTGGTGAAGGAAGAAGTCATGCCTGTGAGGTTGGGGAAGCAAGACAGCATAGCCATTTGGGCACAAGCTGTGACTGTCTTATTTTCAGAGATCTTGAGGGTCTCATAAGTGTTGGGTGCAAGAACCATATGCTAATAAATAAATAGAAGTGTTGTCATCATCTGCAGTGGGGTCAAGACAAAACTTTTTTTCCTAAATTGACTGGTTTTTTTCTCTAGATCAGCCTTCCAAAAATCATAATTCCTTCTATTTGCATTTAATTTTAGCTTATATTTCATTAATTATTCTTAAAAATTTATCATTGGCAGCCCTTTTGTCATTCCTATTTACCATTTCTCAGTGCAAAAATAGTCTTAGATATTCCTGAGAACTTTGAAATACAAGTTTCTAGCACAAGTTATTTTAATGGGAAAAAAAAAAAGGTAAAAAATGCTTGGAAGACTTCTTTTATTATGATTAAGACCTACTTTATTCTAAACCACCTATCTCATGCAGAGTTTGAGTGAATCGTGAAATTTGGGTAAATCATTATCCACTCAGCACTGGCTGCACATGCAAAATGCAAAGCAAAAGGAACATTTTTTATGTTTCTCAAATGAAAGTGGAAGGGAACAAAATCAAGCTTTTAAAGGAAAAAAATTTCAGCCTTAACTACAGAAAGGCTATTCTTTTTCCTATAATACTAGAAAAATTATGTCAGTGCTTGAATAGATTCGAAAGGCCCTATTCTGACCTATGGGAGTAAAACACAATGCACATGCTGAAAATTGGACATAAGCTGTAAATATACTCCAAGCTGGCGATCGCATTGTTTTGTGGTACACATAGGTGCGATTTGATTAATAATACACAGAGGTCTCTACTGTAAGCATAAATTACAGAACAACTGCAGAAAACAGATCCTTGAGCAGAGAAAGTGTAAAAATATGATGCTTGCTGACTGTCTTGTTTGAGCTGCACATCATTCCCCAGTGCTCACAGACTTTCCCAGTCACACTGGGGTTAATAATTAATACTAGTGGTACCATATTATTAGATAATATAGTCTTCATAGCAACTGCTATTATTAAAGCTTGCATGTTGCAGATCATATGCTACTATTTTTCAACCAGAAAACATCTAGACTTCAGAAATATCTCACAATGTATGCACGCCTGTGATACAGCGGGGAGGGCTCTTGTGTGTTGGAATGGGAGATGAAGTCATTAAAAGCTTCAGAGAGAAAATGCTTCTTTGACTTGACGGTTAATTTACAGTACAGGAAATTTTCTCCAAGCAGACAGTAATAGGCATGTGTCAAAAGAAATGACCAGACTGTGCAGGGACTGATATTAGCAATTCTGTTGCTGCCCCTCATTCTCCCCTCCACATACAATCTCCTCCCCATCAGCCCTCTAGGGAGGGCAGGAGCCATGCACCCACAGGAACAGGAGGTTCTCAAATGAACATCAGGGACTGTCCACATTTCCTTCAGTAACTATATGGAGACAAAGAGCCTAAAAGAGTTTTGACTTCCCATAACCCACTCCTATTGATGGTAGGACCTCCAGAAACACAACTGACAGATGCTCCCACATGGTCGTGCAAGCAAGAGGAGCTTGGCAAGAGTAGGTGCCCACATGACATTTTGGGAAGCTCTTCCCTGAAGAGAATTTTCCTCCATCAGCAACAAGGCTCCCACACAGACAAGCATTCTTGGTTTCCAGCACTTGTCTTGCTATTTTTTCCAGAAGGCTCCTGGGTATTTGGGAAGCCACTTTTATTTCAGGAAACTGTAAAAAAGAATGAGCAACTACTGTGTTATCTCATGATCTGGAGAAATCTCACTGCATAAAGCACTACTGACTGTTCTAGTTCCTAATGTCAAAACAAAAATAAAAACCTCACAGATGTCCTTCAAAAAATTCAAACCAAAGAAGGAAGGGCTGAAAGGGCTGAAATGGTGTGACAAGAGTGTTAAAAATTATGTTCACCCGCCCACACTACAGCACACTTGGGACTGTTGCACTGAGCAGTCTTGGGACTCTCTCCAGCTCCCTCTCCCCTCTCCCATTAGCACTGACGAATACAAAACATTTCCTAAGAGAAAGTGTGAACGCTCCCTAAACCAAAAAAGCTCAGTTTCTTTTCTTTTTGCCTGTCTTTTTTTTCATTTTAATCTCTGTTTCCTGCCCAGCTCGAAGAACACCGTGCCGAGCAGAAAAAGCTGAAGTACCTACAGAAGAGGCAGGCCCAGATCACCAAGGAGAAGGACCAGCTGCAGAGTGAGCACAGCCGAGCCATCCTTGCCCGCAGCAAGCTGGAGAGCCTGTGCCGGGAACTCCAGAGACACAACAAAAACCTCAAGGTGGGTGGTGGCCTCAGCAAGGTACTGAGCAGTGCAGGGGAAGAAGATGCTGATGCCTTCCCATCTTGCTCTAGTACCAGGTCAAAGAGACGTTTGCTTCTGTACTTGCAATATAGAATTATATGTTATAATTATATATACTATATACTGTACAGGATAGGTAGTATATAATATATATAAGAATACATAATATATAATTGTATGTTTTAATTATATATTATATAATTATATGTCTTGAGGTCCATTTACACCAAGACCTCTTTATTTCTCATTTGGAAATATCCAAGCACTTTTGGATATTGTGTTTGCCCACACTAGTTGTAAGCCCTCCTTGCATGAGCAGGGAGCTCAGTGCACAGAAAAGCAGTGGTGCTAACAGACCAGGTCCTGAGACTGCAGATGAAAATGCATATGCATGGACAGAATAACAGGGACACCAGCTTTGCTCCAGTAGACTCACAGAATGCTGGTGGGTATTTTCATGTAATTTGAGTACTTGGGCTTTTTCAAGTGATTTGTGAAGGTCAGTCAATCAGGAAATTTGCCTCAAGACATCAAACATAAGACAGGAAGAATGCCAACATTGTGGAAGTAATTTGGATTACAAGAATCAGTTCAAAGAGGAAATTTTCTGGAGTATCGAAAGGCTGGGATCCATATGTCTGCCTATTGCTTGGTGCATCACACCATTTAAATGTGAAGTTTATAATATGATTATGCTTCCTGAAAATTGTAGGTTCACAAAGTATATTACTGTTGTGATTGTCCTTTTTTTTCTGAGGACATGTTAGTGATGGTGGTTTTATTATTATACAAAAAGCCTCTGCTTTCATCTATTCAACCCCCTTCTTTATGGGGATATAGTTATGTATAGAATTACATATATGAATTGTCAGCAGCAAGAATTCCACCTGATATAACCCCTATTAACTGTAATGGATTTTCATTCATTTCCACCAGCTCAGGAGTGGGCCTTCAGGGTGTAGCTCTAACTTTCGTTGTACACTGATAAGAATACATCTGGGAGAGGGCAATGGTCACACATATATTTAAACTGTGCACTAGTAGAAGGATAAAAGCAGTTTAACAGATGGGGAAATTAGAAGCAAATCTCTGTGTCCAGTTATAGTAGCACAGAACTAGTAGTGAAAATTAAATATGTGCCTGTAATTTGTACCAGATCTGAACTGTACTTCAATATTGATTTCCACTGATTTACCAGACTGTCTGTGGGCAAAATCTTTCAACAGAAATACACGCCAGTTCTAAAGTGAATTAAGAGTACAGAGTACAGTGCTTTGCATAGCCTTAACTGAGATTACTAAACAAATAATATTAGGGGAACAAGTTGGTGGAGACAGGGGTATAAAGAAAAACTAATTATATTTGGAAAAAATATTTGGAACAAATTTGGTTGAATTTCTCACACAATTTCCCAGCTACTTTATGCTTATTAATCTCATTACTAGAGAGCATGATTTTCCCTTCCCCTTTGTATATAAATATTTCATCACACATTTCAGCTTTACATTTAGGAAAGTCTCTTTCCAGCACCTTTCCACTTGTTGGGCTGTTTTGCCTTGTGACTAGGTCCTCTAAATAAACCTATCAATTTCAGACTTAGTTCTGATTTTTATCCTGTGCTTATGCCAGGTGAGTCAGGAAAGGTACCTGAGTTGATCTGGTAGTAGGAAGAAGTGTTCAAATTCCGGCCACTTCTTTCAAAGAATTTGGAGACATTTTAAGAAACCCAATATACAATCTTTCCTCTGGTTGCTGTGCTTTCAGTGTAGAAAAAACAAAGTTAAATAAGACAGTAAGACAAAATAGACTTGCAGAATATATGCAAATTAAATTAATAAACAAAGGCATTCATTATCTTTATCCAATTTCATCTCTCTGAGAATTTTAGCATAGTTCTTGGAATATTTGCCTTTAAGCTTTAGCTCCTGGAGATCTGTGACTCTCTGGAAACGCATGTTCTGTTTATTTAACTGAGTGCAATTTTCTTTCACTTAAGACTGTACTGAAAGGGTCCAAAAGAAGAAAATCCGTCAAATGTTATTTTTAAAATCTCATACTTCAATGTTTTTATTTTGGTTTTGGCAGGACAGAGAAGCTTATTCATAATTTTTTGTGTTTGGGATTAGCACCTCTGATTATGTTCCAAATCACGGAAAATACAATCTGTAGGAGATTGTGCCATTTCAATAACAAAGGAGAAACCTGGCCTGCCCAGATCACGAACCATCTCTGACTTACCATGTGGTATATTGTATGCACATCACGTCATGTAAGTGTCATCTTCACTCAGCTGGTGTGTGGAATTCCCATTAACTGGAGATCCATGCAGCCAAGTGGTGATGAATATGCAATGTGGAGCTGTATTGAAAATCCACAGGGCAGATCAGAGAAGAAAAATTTCTGGTTAGTATTGGATACCAGCCTCAAATTCTGACTTGCATACAGCCCGGGTATTCTGATTATTTCCTTGCAGTTACACAGACATTTAATTCTCCCTCTAAGAAAAGCAGAATAAAGGTTCATGAAATAGCAGAATGTATTCCCACTGCAATAGAGAGTAGGTCTCCTATGAAAAATAGCAATTAATTTCTCTGCATGGAGTTCATGTTCTGTCAATTATTTGACAGTTTGGTAGCTACTTAGTATCTTGCAGTGACATGAACATCTCAGGTCCCCTGTCCTTCCTGCCACCAGGCATTAAGCAATGACTTTCATACAAATGTCACAAAAGTCAACAGCTTCGACTGTGGGCTCAGCTCCAAACTGTCTCAGACCGTGGTGCCGGGGAATGAAGAAAATGGTTAATTGAAAAAAAGATTTCATTCTTATATCCTCTTGGCTGATAGGACTTCAGCAGACCAACAATCTTCTTGAGCTGGCCCAGAGAGGCATGAGGACAATTCCAGAGACAAACACGCTCTACTATTTTCAAATTATCTCACATTCCTGTGCTAAATCCCAAACTGCAAAATATCCTTGTCTTGATCTTACAAGGTTTTATTCAATGCATTCTTACATTTTTAGCAGCAAAACACAAGAGCAAAAGCAGTATTACAGTAGGATGCAAGAATATGTCTTTGAAAAGTTGACATGGAGTGTGAAGATTAAGAAAAGACAGAGAAACAAGAACAATAGTTTATGGATGGACTTCAGCTTTCCACAACTGGAAATCTAAAAATAATTTACAATGCTTTATTTTTCTCACTAAAATTGAACACTTACTTAAAAGCTATTAAAAGAATAAGTAGACAGTGAAGTATCTGACAAGACCAAGCATTGTATGCATGTTAGGAATTAACCATGATGATGCTGAGAATTCACTACGCCAAACAGCCTCTGCTCTGCTCCCTAAAACCAAGTCAGCCAGGAGCTCTGGACTCCACGCAGCTACCTCAGCTGCAACAGCAGTAACACAAAACAGTAATCAGTCTTCAAGACTCCCATTTGGGGGAAATCTTCAGGATTTTACTTTACACTGTGTTGTCTTGAAATGGGAAACACTAAGGAAGTATTCAAAAAACATGCATTTTCTCAGGTGCCAGGGATGGGTACAAGCAAATAGCTGAGGCTGTAGCCTTGTGATAATAAAACCTAAGTGATAATGATGATTTGGGGTTTGCCAGACTGTGCCTGCCTAGGTGAGATGGGTGAAGGGGAGCTGGCCCCACAGCCCTGAAGCAGAGCTGGCAGGGATATAGGGCTTTGATGCTGGCACCGTGGGCATCCAGCCCTCTCCTTGGCTCCAGTGCAGACACAGCCTCAGCCATAGGCTAGTAAAGGTTCAGGTTTAAAGCAGACACCTCCAAAGTCCTATCACTTTTCTCATGCTATTATTGGTAGCACCTAGAAGCCTGTAAGATTAAAACTGTATTACCTTAGGGACCAGGCACCAGCCTACCATCAGCTGGGCACTAGCAGCGACACAGCAAGCTCCACTCATGGCAAAGCACTGAGCACAGAGGTTTTTGGTCTTGGGAACAGGGAAGAGGCAATGCCTGTCAGTCTCTGTGCAGTGCTGTAGCCACACAGTTGTCCTTCTGCTTAGCCAGCTCCTCTCACCCACACTGAGCCTTAATCTGTGACTGGGATCTCAAGGATTTAACAAACGAGGGACTCTGAGGAGCTCTCTGGCACACACACCAGACCCCCTTCCCAAGCAAATATTCTCCTCAAATATATTTTTCTCTGAAGCAGAAAAGATCCAGAGAAATACTGTGTCCTACAACCAAATGCTTGCTGGCTCAGTGTCTTAACGATTAATCTATATATTGTCTCTGTGCTCTGTATTGCATAATTATTTTACCTCAGAAGAGCAGGAAATAAGATCCTCTGAGTAACACATGCACAGAGGGTTGGTTTGTGTACATTTGCATGATTGTTACTCTCAGGATGTCTCATTTCACCTTGTAATGGGGCCGTTTGGTGTGACAGATGCACAATTCACCTTTTTTTTATATTCAGCTGGATTTATTACTCCAGAGAGCTTTAAATCACAGCAGTGATGTGTTATAACACTATTTGGTCTATAGAAACAATAAATTTTTTGAGGAAGGATGTTTTGAAACCATAGAAATAGGACTCCAGACATGCAAGTTCAATTTCTCACTTTGACTTCCAGAAGTGAAAGCACCTGGTCACTCTTCTCCCTGCTCAGGGCTGCACTTCTATAATGAAGAACTAAAGAGGCATGAAAAGTTTTTTAAACAGTATGTTAGAGGTTGTGCTGGTTTAAAAGTAAACCGGTAGGAGAAATGAACCCAACTCAAGAGAGATTACAAGTCAGAGTTACAATTTATTTAAAAGATTACAATAAATACAGTGATACAGAGAAAACTGGTTTTAACCCCCAAAGACAGATGTATAACCCAGCACCCTGGGACAAGAACAGAATGGAGTTTGTTAGCCCCTGTGCTGAGCATCACTTGGTCCCCCTGGGGACAAAGTAAAAGGAAAGGAAACCTGTTGGTCCAGATGATGGTCACAGTCCTATTGAAGTAATGATCACAGTCTTGTCGAGAGTGGCAGTTGCAGTCCTAGTGGACTTCTGGTCCTCCTCTGGATCTGACAAGCAGTACCAGAAGTCCCAAAACCCCAAGATTATATAGGCTTAGGTTCAGTACCTCCCCCAGAGTGGGGAGTTTCACAATGGGTGATTTAACTCTGTGAGTCATGGGATAACTCTACTTTGGAAAAGGATTCTTTTACTAAAAAAAGTAACTAGAAACAGAACACAGCTCAATTGCTGGTCAAGCAAAATTTTCAAAAGCATTCTCACCAACTGAAAAAAAAAATAATTGGAGAGCTTCTCTTTCATCTTGCTGCAAATTGTCTTTTATATAAACAAATCTAAAACAGAATTTCAATAATAGGTAAAAAAAATAATTCTGAATGTCTGCTTTGATTCTGTAAGAAACTGCACACAAGCTTTCCTTGATTCCACTCACTAATAAATTAGTGCAAATGTTTATGTCAGTTAAAAAGTAGGGGAGAAAACTTGAGGAATTGGAATGGATTCTTCAGCAAGTGATGAATTTCTCTTAAAATTAAAATCCCAAAGGCCGTACATTTGATATGAAGATTCCTAGTTAACAGGAGGTATTTTAAAGGTTCATATTCTAATTCAGTCAAAGAGAATTTCGATAAAAGAGCTTTGGACTGCTTCACTAAATATCTTCTTCCAAAGCAAAAGCTGTGCTGCAGTATCATGAATCAAGACATGCACACATGTCCTCTCTTTCAGGCTTGCTTTGATCTGAAGCTCTGCTCTACATCCATCTTTATAAATGCAAATTCTTTGTTCCCTAATTTTTTCAAGGCCAGTGTGTAATTTGCTCTGTAAATTTAGAATCACGCCTAATGCCAGAGCAGATGAAAGCAAGAAAATCTCCAAAGAGGAATGCAAACATGTAAAATCCTTCAAAGGGAGGGCTTATGCTACTCTGAAACAGTATTTTTCTGGAACTGCTTATTATGCCTCTTACTCTACTGTGTTCCTTCCCATTCAACAACAGGAGGAAACAATTCAGCGGGCACGGGAGGAAGATGAGAAGAGGAAAGAAATAACTAATCACTTCCAGGGCACATTGAGTGAAATCCAGGCTCAGATCGAGCAGCAAAGTGAGAGGAACATGAAGCTCTGCCAAGAGAACACGGAGCTGGCAGAGAAGCTGAAGAGCATCATTGACCAGTATGAGCTGCGGGAAGAGGTAAGAGCAATACCCTGGATGCTGGAGGAGACAGGCAGAAAACCCAGGGAAAGCAGAAGGCATTGCCAGCAGCCTGCCTGCCCCACCGGCTATCATTCAGGTGTCTCACAGAGGTAATAAGGATAGCCCTCACCATACTTTGCCCTCTGAGTGGGACTATGCCTGCAGCAAGCCTGCCAGGCTGTGCGGCCATGGAGTTGTATGGGACAACCTCCTGTGGCACCCATGGCAGACTTGCTGCTGTGCGGAGAGGTGCCAAGTCACACAAGCAGCAAGGTGTGCCAGCTGTCTGCTAAGTTGCCTGAGGCTCCTCATAGCTCCCCCAAATCCCTGGGGGCATAACCCAGCATCCCTTTCCTCCTTCCTGCTAAGCTCCCACTGAGCACATGCCAGATCCCATTTTTCTGAATAGCCTGTTCTACTGGTGACACCAAATATCCTTTGTTCCCTCCAGATACACTTTGCTGAGAAGAGCTCTGATGTAAGCGATTTGACCCTTCCCCAAAGCAGAAAATTAAGACAACAGATAAAGGAGGCCCTCTGAAGTTGAATAGATTCTTTTCTTTTTTGCAGACACAATGCAATAAGATCTAGCAGATAATAGACAGATGCGAAATTATTCTTTCTGTAAACATTAGCATTGGTCAGAAAATTTTGACACAAAAATCCCCATCCTCCATTAAAATCCCAACTGCCTTTTTTTTTATTTTATGACAAATGCTAACAAATATCATAATGGGTCTTTTTATTGTTTTTAAATACATTTACTGTGAGTCTCAGTGCAATCAGACAACATTATCATACTGAATAAAACATAAGTAATCTGTCTTTACAATCTGGAATGACTGATACAATACCTGCATTTCCAAATCTGTTGAATCATGTATGAAGTCATATACTGAATGAAGGAAGTGTACATTCCTGTCTTGTGGTTTCTATGAGAAGAAAATGTAAACCAGAGGGACACGGAATATTTGCTCCAATGAATTTTACCTAAATGAATTAAGAGTGAAGAGGGCTATCAGCAACATTTATCTCCTGAAGGTCACCATGAAGCTGGACATTTTACAGTCTAGGGGAGGCCTCTGGTTCATTTGATCTGATCTCCAGATCCCAGGCCCTCCATGCCCACATTGTGCAGGTGTGGCCAGAGCAAAGGGGATTGTATTTACGTAGAGGATGGCATGGGCTGTGTGTTTCCAAGTACTGTAGGTATGATTTACACATTTGTTCACACAGTGCCTTGGATCCATAGGCAATTGAACAGCTAAAAAAAGTGTGACCCCAGCATATTTATTATCGATGAGCAATTATTTGATCTTCAGTCATATTGGATTATCGTGATGACTTCATATGTAGACCATAAAACTAGCAAAGATGCTAAGGCTTTTTTTTCCCCTACAATAGGTCAAAATTGATAATGTAAACCAGTTTCCCTTCTCATGCAAAATCTGTCACAGTTTGTTCTTATTAGAGCTGTGATTTTTTTAGTAATTGCAATAGGTTGGCTGTCTTCTTGTTTTGCAATATTTTTGTCTTACAAGTGTTTTGGTTAATAGCTGTACATGCATAAGCATGAAGGTTGTATGTAGATAATTAAACCTACACATTCAGCAGAATTTATTTTCTTACAGCACCTTGATAAAATATTTCAGCACAGAGAACTTCAGCAGAAACTGGTAGATGCCAAGTTGGAACAGTCTCGAGAAATGATGAAAGAAGCTGAGGAACGACATCAGAAAGAGAAGGAATATGTACCTATCATTCTAATCTGTCTGTCTTTTATCTAACTTTAAGCCAAAATAAGCCCTGCATGCAATTTCACTAATATATTGGTTCTTCAGGTCCAATCTAGGATACAGTAGCAGAGAAGTTTTTATAGCTACCATCAATGCTTTATGCAAAGGAACAGCCTCTGAAAGGCTGCTTCCATTGGCATTTAGTTTTAGAAGCAAACTGCAGAGTGGTAGCTTAGAGTACAGGCTGCTCTAGCTAACTCGCTGTTACTATGCAATTGATTCATTGTGATGTTGGGTAGGTGATGCCATCAGTTTTCAAATGGCTCTGGTATTTGATACTCCATCTCCCCACAAGATAAATGCACACATCTAAACAATCAGAGAGGAGAACAAGAACATGGCTGAAGGCTGCTATTCTCCCAGGTTCAGAGCCTCCCCAGGCATCCTCCCGTAGGTCCAGTTTTGCCAGTGGAGTCCACAGGAGCTGCTTGCTGTGATAGAGCCTCCCCTTCTCAGTTCCCCTCCCTAATTGGCCTGCCAGCCCACCTTTCAGGCAGGAAGGGTCTGGGTCTGCTTAGTAGCCTTGTCGGATCTTCCTCCCTATCTGGAGGAGGGGACCTCTTTATCAGGGGGATAGAGAAGAGCAGATCCAGGAGGGATGTCATCTGCAGGCACAGCTGGGATGGGAAGACGACACTCCTCCATCTGTAGTCTCACATATTTTATGACTCAATCAGATCAAAATTAATTTTGTCAGACTGTCTGGTATTTTCACAGCAACCCTCACATCTATAAAGGATTGGACTTCAACACTGACACATGGTACTTCTTCTCAGCAGAGGCAACAGCTGAGACTACTCAGGGGGAGTGATGGGCTCTCATCAGCTGGAAGAAAGCTTTAGTTTTCATCAGTCCTCCAGCTAACTCAGGAGCAGCATAAGAGAGCTCTAAAGAGAGAACATTTATCCCCTCTCCATATCTGGAAACAGATACAGTAGCACAAGCATGGCTAATAAGTATCTTAAAATATGGACAAAAATGTGGGGCTCTGAGTCCTGGGGTTAGAGCACGAGCAAAACACAGCAAACACCTCCTACCAAAAATTGCCCATAAGAGCATTTATCCTCTTTCTTTGCACTGATCTTGTGGCTGGAACACACACTCCTGCTCAGCTTTACTACCTCTACAGAGGGCGGGTGAAGAGGGGCTGGGGCTTCTCTGTGTGCAAATCTGCATATCACTGCGTGACATTTTGATTGGTCCAGCTGAGTTATTCCTTTTCACTGTGAAACCTACGTAAAGCCAAACCCCAAAATTCCCTTCATGACCATTGATTCCTGGCAGATTTAAACCCCAGGAAACATGTCCAAGAAATCACTTGCAATGGCAAAGCAAATATGGAACTTACTTTACTGCTGTCACTGGGAGTTTTGCTACTGACTACCAGATTGCAGATACTGGGAAAAAAAACCCTCAAAACAGAAGATGTAAAAGACCAGGCATTATCTCTGTGGAAAAGTGACATACACAGCCTTGTATCAATGATCTTTCTTGCTGTGTCTCACAGAATATGAGTTTTAGGGCTGCTCGTTGCCTGTGACTGGCCGTGTTTCTAGTCAAAACTACTTTGTGTTGATTATCCAGAACTGGTATGCACAACTTTGGTATTTTCATTTCTTTTTAAGTAGCAAAAGTCATCACTGTCTACAATTGAGAGTGGAAGATTTTCTTTTTGGTTTTGCTGTATGTATGACTAGCACCTATGAAATAACAGGTTCAAAAACAAGCTGCAAAACTTTAAGCAGTGGGTGTATAATGGTACGTGCAGTGTACAAAGAATATTTTTCACGCTGTCCAAATTAATGCTTAAAAACTCAGAGGCAGGCTGGTGATATATGGCTAACATCACCTCAGAGCAAGGCAGATTTAGCTGAAGAACTTAAGTGGCAGGCCAAAAGCCATGCAATGAGTCAAGGCATGATTAAGCATGTCACGACTCATCACAGGTAGCCCAGAACACAGAAAGCTGCCCTACACTTGGCTCCCACCTCAATCCTATTGATATGCTCTTAGTCCCACCCACCAAGCTATTGTGCTAGTGTCTGTGGGAGCAACGTATATGTATGTATGAAATCAAGGTGGTTTTGATGGAGTTTTCTCATTTCACTGTAACTCTCTCCAGCTCAGTAATGTGCAAAGTTAGAATGGCTTTCAGAACCTTTCTCTACATAGCATTTTCTATATCCCTGTGCATGACTTTTGCTGCAGGTTTTTGCAAATGTTCTTAAATTAAAATTATTGTATTCTTTTATCTATTTGATTACTCTTTGAAGGCTCACTTTAATGTCTTCCTAGGCAGTTCTTCCATGTAGGAATCTTTGCCCCTATACAAAACTTCTTTAAGTCAGATAAGGAGAGATGTCCCCTCCTGCAGTCTCTGTACATCTCAACAGGCAGGTCCTCTCACTGCTTGCACAATTCACTCTACACGTGCATCCAAGAATGCAATTCCCTATATAAGCAGCAATGGTGTGTGGCCTCCACAAAGGGCCAACTTGACCTAAGGATGCAATTTTATTATCATCCTGTAACTGGTCAGCACTACCTGGATTTCTTCTCCCTATCATACATTTTTAGCACTTGTAATACAAACTTTGATGTGCAATTAATCACAGTTTAAAGCATCTGTGCCTTTCAAGTATATGACTGCAAGGCATTGATTAGATTTCTTCATAATGGGAATTTACAGAGTCTGACAGTAAAAAGGGAAGCTTAATTTTCTCTAAGCCAGTCCCTAGATGCATGCCATTAAATGGGAACTGGTCCTTTTAGTCCTGGGTGTGATGTGACTGTCTGGGCCTCCAGCAGCTATCATAGCTCTAATAATAGAGTGTAACATCACCACACTTCACTCAAGTGCTGCTTTGTAAACACCACATGTAATATTTATTCATTTTTTTATACTCCAGCCTCCTTGTTACCACTTCAGAGCCTATTAATAAATGTATCAGTTCTGATTCATTTTCTCCCAGCTTGGTGTTTGCAGATGACCTCGGGCTGCATACGAACGCATGCTAATTTGAGCAAGGCTCTCTGTGGCTTGCTTCCACTACAGGATAGTTTATTAACTCTTGGATTTTTACTGGCTGCAGAAGCTATGTGGGTCAGTAAGAGAGAAGAATTTCATTAACAGGCAAAAGAAGCAACTTTCCTTTGCCTTCTCTGTCCATCTGTTGTGCTGTGGCAGAAGACATGGTGCAGCGTTATTCCAGTCACACTGGGTATGAAGGTAACCCTGGCTGAGATTAAAGCAATACAGATAAAAGCCCAGTTCTTCGAAGTAATGACTGGCCTAGGGACTGCATAGCTCTGAAGGTTTTCAAAAAGGTGTTCATTAAATCATTCAAACCTGATACCCTATAATTCCTAAAAAAACCCTAAACAAGTAGATATCAAAGAAAGGTGAAATATAAATATCCAGATCTCATCCAACTTTTAAAAAAAATCATTCTTTTTATGTGTCTGAAACCTACCCTCTTCCAAGAAAATAAATCCATGGACTGAAACTCATTTAACCCAGGCCCACCCATACCATCTCTTTTTACTGGCTATGACACAACCTATTTGAAATTTTACTCAACAAGATCTATATTCATTAATTTGATTTATTTCCATTGAACCAAACATCAAATTAAATTCTCAAAATAAATATTGAGAGGCAGGTAGAAAACAAATAGAATGTGGCATTTCTTCACACAATACATACTTGAGCTGTAAAACATTCTTGTCTAGGAAGTTGTAGATGGCAAAAATTCAGTGAGTCTAAATCAAAGGCCAAATTGATGGAAGAAATGCTTTTCTAGAGCTTATAGTCTTTTTGCCACACATATATGGAGGCAGTCAGCATTTTAGGGTACATCCTCAGCTCTCTTGCCAGGTGGTATATATAGTTTACATGTGTTATTTCCAATAGAATGGTCAGAATAAAGGTTTTTACTGGGAATCAAACACATTTTCTGCATGTGGTTCTATTCACCTTTCATTTCCAGTATAAGAGTAGGGTCCACTGATGTACACAGTCCTTTTATTTTTCAATATAATTTCAGAGCCCAACTGTGTTATTTTAAATCCAATTTACAGTACAATTTAAGCACAATTTAATCAAACAGATCAAAATCTTGTGGTAACTAACTTCTTTATGTCTCATTGCTCAAGTTATCATTAGCATTCTTTTTCTAAAACACATTTGGCCTGACCGGTAAAACACTTTATAAATGTTTGGTAGGCGACAGGTGTATTTCCTCAACACTTCGCTAAATGGTCCCTGCTTTCAGATTAAACCAATTGCTAAAATATTACTGTGCACTTTGGAAGTCCTGACTCAGAACTGTAGCCAGAAAAGGTCTCCGTACACCTCATTCTTACAATTCATTCAGCCTCGACCAACCTTCCATCTGGTCTATCTGAAACCTTCATATCAGAATATAATTTTGCCAAATATCTGGGAGTAGGGAGTTACGTCTTCCCAGGAGCAGCCAGGAATAAAACTGCAGTCCAGCTCTTCCTGGGCTGCCTCCTTGACCTAAGTGAGATGTTTATCATGCTGAGCTGAGATTCTCCACTTCTCAATGCAAATAGAGCCCAAAGATAACAGGCAGCAGCAAATATATGGCCTTTACTTATGCATTCCCTTTCTGAAAACTTGCAGTTTTTTTGAGGCATGTCTGACTGTGACCATGTTACGTCCTGATCATTAATGCAAAAGGGAGTTTGCCATTCATTGGATAGCAGGAATTTGGCTGGAGCTGTGCTGAAATGAATGTGCCAGAAAGCATCACAACCATTCTCTAGAAGTCTGGTGAAGATATGGTTAAATACCACACTTTTTATAGCCCACTGTACTGCACACTTAATTCAAAGTAGTTTTTGAACTGCAATTCAAATGTTCTTTTGGAAATCAAATGGCCTGTCCCATGTCTCAAGTTAACACTAAATACCGTCTTGCCTAACTCCTCTAACTACATTCACCTGAAAGTTATATCACTCCTTGTTACAGCAGCAGAGGTAGATATATGAGTAGCTGGAGAATGAGGTTTTCCAACTGATAAACTAGACCTAACAATTTTTCTCTCTGCTGCCCAAAACACAGCTCCTGAACCAAGCTGCAGAATGGAAGCTCCAGGCCAAAATGCTAAAGGAGCAAGAGACTGTCCTGCAGGCACAGGTGACGTAGGAGAGATTATTGCATGGTGTGCCTTTGTTTCCCAGTTTTTAACCCATGAGGCCTGTTCCAGGTAAAGTATCCAAACTACTTTCTGTGTATTCCTTCTACCCTCATTCTACATCCCATAAACTATTGCAAAGGAAACAGGTTATTTTCAAGCCAGCTGTAAGGTAATGCCCATAACTGCGTATCATACTGTGTCATGGGGTTGCTTAGTCTGTAGAAGAAAAGGCCCCGGGGAGACCTTTTTGCAACATTTAGATATTTACAAGAGGTTTATAAAGGTGGAGAGAGACTTTGTACCAGAGCACGTGGTGATAGGACAAGGGGTAACAGTTTTAAACTGAAAGACGAGAGATTTATATTATATATGAGGAAAAAAATCTTTACTGTGAGGGTGGTGAGACACTTGAACAGGTTGCCCAGAGAAGTTGTGCATATCCCATCCCTAGAAGTGTTGAAGGCCAGGCTGGATGGGGCTTGAAGCAACCTGGTCTAGTGGAAAGTGTCCCTTCCCAAGGCAGGAGAGTTGGACTAAATGATCTTTTAAGGTCCCTTCCGACCCTAATCATTCTATAGTTCTATGATTTATGAGTGTTTACAGTATTCAACCACAGAACAATGTATGTGCCTTGGCTTGATTATACACCATAACTGTCCTTCAGACAGGTTTATAATCTAGCAAAGCACTGGAGTACATGCATATCATGAAACATTTATCAAACTGAAGCTGATGTGCTCATGTGCTTTTCTGAACTGGAGTGTGAAGGTAGTGTTTTCATTAACTTTAGCAGGAATTCTGTCTACTAAGGGTTTGTACAAAGGGGTCGCTTGTTTTAATTGTAATTTGAAACTTTCAATAAAATAAAATTACTTGCCAAAATTACACCAGGAGTCAGGCTGGAGTGAAAGGTAGTAAAACCAAGAAATAGGCAGTATATACTACACTTTGGGAGCAATGCAATAATCAACACTGAATAGTCGAGTGAGAACACTGGATGACGTCCTGGACTTTCACATCAAAAAGAGAGTATTGGTAGATTTTCCTAGACTTACAGAAAGAGTCATGTAGATTTATCTTCTTTAACCTGTCTGTGAGAAAGATTAGCAGAAGCTTGAGAGGGGTGGTATCAGTCTTTCAGCCCTCTTGCAGCTGCCAATCTCCTCACTCATCAGGAAGCCCTCTCCTAGCCCTTGCTCACTGTTAATTATACTAGTAAGTTGTTCCAGCTTTGCCCTTGCAGATGGTCTAATTGCTACCTGTTGAGCAGTCAAGAAATGCTAGTGTTAAACTGATAACCCGGAAATGTGATAAGAGGGGTTTGGTTCTTCAAGTGTTTTTTCAAGGGTTAAGATAATCCAGTAGCACACCAAAGAACATTATATAAACTCCTGCTGACACCAGTTTGACAGGTTCTGCAATCAAACCTCAAATGCCTCCAGCTGAGTCTGTCCCAACTGCAAACCTGCTCCCAATTTTCTCAGGGTGGTTTTTTTAATTAAACTTTTATGTTCTACCGAGACCCCTGGTGGTCTAGTGGTTAGCATGCAGGACTCTCACTGCTGCGACCCGGGTTCGATTCCTCGGTCTCCCGGGCAGATGGAACCCGTTAGCCCTGTGAGGCCATCCATCTATGAGAAGGTCACTCTAAACAAACCTACGTCCTGAGGACCTCACTGCCATTGTCCAAGCTTGCTTGGCCCCGGCAGATGAACCTTAGGATTAAAGGGTGGGCTCAGTTCAGCGCAGGCTGTGTCTCACCTAAAAAATCCATTGCGCAGGCTGGAAAGGTAAAAAGACCTTTCCCCAGATCTTCGTTCGCGAAGACTGGCCATTATATGTTCTACCAGAAAAAAGGTTTTTTTATGCAGGCAGACCTCTGTAGCCAGTTTAATGAAACTGAAGGTATTGATAAAAACTAGAATTTATTAAGCATACATTTAAAAGAGTAAAATTGTTTTTAGAAAAAATTCAGTCAAACAAGTCTGCAAAGGCATTGAAAATACATGTGCCCCTTTCAGTTTTGTGTAGAGAAACTTAAGTGATTCATTTGCTGAAATGAAACATACAGTTGTATATGGCTCAAGTATGAGGGCTCTGTCACACATCAGCCTCCCTTTGAAATTACTGGGAATAGTAACACTATCAGTATTATTTTTGTTACTTTTATTATTTCTAGAATGGTAGCACTGAAAGGCCTCCCTCTTGGACCAGATGACATCATACAAGGTCTTGTGCAAGTGCCAAACAGAAAGAGCATAAAGAGCTCCTTGATGCAAACAACACAAAACAATAAATAGATATTATGTCCCATCCCTGGAAGTGTTCCAGGCCAGGTTGGATGGGACTTTGAGCAACCTGGTCTAGTGAAACATGTCCCTGTCCATGCCAGGGATGGTCTTTAAGGTCCCTTCCAACCCAAGTCTTCCTATGATTCTATAATTAGCAGAGGAACAGCTGCATGGAAATTATGAGAAGACATTAGTCAGTGAGATAGGGACAAACCATAATATAACCCTCACAGAAATACCACTCCATTTTAGAGGAGGTGATGAGCACCCACTGCTTCCTTGAGCTGTAAGGAACTGGAGACATCATCTTCATGCTAGCCTGTCTCTGCGTCACACAGTGTGCCTGAGATGGCCAATTCTAGCACTGCAAATGGTAACAGGAACCTTGCACCAGCTGAGAGTTACACCCAAACTGTGGTGGTGCTTCCCAGGATGCTGCACACTCTCCCCAGGTATGATGCTTAGGCAGATTATTTTAGCTTCATGCATTGAAACAAAATAAGATAGATGACAGCTGAGATCTTTATTTTTGATTGCCAGCATAGTGCAACCACTAGGCTACAGCAACCAAGAAGAACATAACAAGGCCAAAGGGGTGTCCTCGTTGAAGTACCCTCTCAGTATTGCAGTGCTGAGGTGCCCCCACTCCCCAAGACCTTGCACTGGCAGCAGCTCTACCTCTGCTCTCCTTGCCCACACAGTCAGGGTGCTGGATGGGCAGTGGGCAGAAGCCGGGGGGTCCTCGTCTCCCTGACCTAGGAGCACAAGTGCATGCTCCTAAGTAGGGACAGCTCTCACAGCCTGTTCCCAGCCACCATGAAAACATTCCTTCATTACTCAATTTTAAGTTGTAGAAGCTGTTCTTGGTGCTATGGTGCTGCCTAGGGCCCCAGCTGAGGTCAGAGCTTGCCCTGTTCAAAAATGAAAGGTTTTTAATTTAATTAAACAAAAATTGTAAGAGAAAGCAAATGACAGAATTGAGGTGAGCTTTTTTTAAGGCAAGGGGTCTGGGCTAGGAGCCTCAGTTTGCTGACTCCCACTCCTGCTCCCTCACCTGGCTTTGGGATGCTCAGGCATTTCCTCTTAGAGGTATGACATCTATTCCAAATGTCTTACTTGATATCGGTGTCCCTCTTAGGCTGTGGCACTTGGGCTGCTAAAACAAATCCCTCTGGGTTTTTGTTTGTGCCTAAGTCACAACTCTGGATACAGCTTTCTATAAATACACACAAGCTTCATGTCAGCTAGCTCTGATATTGGCACCACAGAGAACTCTGCACAGATTAACCTCCCATGTCTTCACCCAGCTTGGTGGGGAAGGGCTGCAGCCAGTGCTATGTTCACAGCCACCGGGGCCATAACTATCTAGGTTAAACTTAGCTGGAACATATCCACAGTACAGTGCATTTATGGCTGTGACAAGGGGCATCATAACAACTAGCTTAAATGAGCATAATACATAATATAACCATACCTGATTTCAAAATCAGAATTAAACACACTGCACCACTAGCAACATTTTCTAAATCTTCTTTTCCTCAGTAATTGCACAGTAGTATCAGTGGAGGGGATGAGTTGGCTGGCACCACACAAAAGGAAAGCTCCTAGCTAATCATTTGGCCAGCTCCCTGCCAGTGTGGAGAGGGCAGCCAGCCTCCACTGAGACACGAGAATACTGCAGGCTGCTCTTGAACCTCCCATTGCCCTGCACCTACCCTGCCTCAGCCACCACATGTTATGTCAATCACTTTTTCTAAGAGCTGTCAGGCTGGACAGATGAAATGTCTGATCACCTAAACACTGCCGGGGATGCTTTGGCACTAGAAGGAAGTGAATAAGATGGAGATGGTCTTCCTTTCCAGAGGACAAAAAACCAAAGAAACAAACACAAAAACCCCCCAAAAAATCCCACGCCAGAAAAAGTGAAAAACAAGAATATCATACAGAAAAACTAACTTCAGATCTTTAGAACTCCCTAATGATTTTAGATATAAAAAGTAGGTATTACTGAAAAAACACAGCTACTGGTGAATTTTCACATGGCTGCCAGGTATACACTGACAGTACAATATGGAGCCCTAGTAGTCTGAAATGCTGGCACATTGCAACAGACTTTCTTCTGTTCTGTTTCATGAAGCGAAGTGAAACTGGCAGAAAAGGCCAGCTGGAGATCACTTCTTCTTCTTTTGCTGGCCTTGCCCACAGCTGCAGTCCGCATGGAGCCTACAAAACAGAGCTGACAAGGTACCCTCAGCTTGCTCAAGCCATGGTACAGGGATGCATCTTGAAGTAATACAGTGCAGAATCACAGTGGTGTGAAAGTGAAGGGTGGGCTTTGCTTAGTGGTAGGGTGAGCAATGATACTCCTCTTCAACAGGTGAGTCCAGTGAAGCACATCGAGCACTGCCTTTGCAGCTCCAGGCCACGGCCTGAGCCACCAGGCAGAATGATGGAAGAGGGGAAACTGTGGTTGCAGCCTGATGTGGGGATGCCTCTCCCCCAGCTCACTTGGACATCAGAAGCAGCATAGCCAGGGCAGCACTCAGCTCCTAGCTGGGCTGGGGGAGTAATCCACAAGGCAGGTGAACAGCTGGGCAGCCAGGTGGTACTAAGCTCCTCTGCTAAGGCCCATCAGGGCTCATGCCCTTGGGTTAAAGCAGGGGTTTGGTGATGTCTGCGTGGTGAAGCAAGACTTAGAGCTCAGGCACAGCTCATTATCACGCTGGCTCTCACTTTGAGTGAATCCCGTTGCATGGTCCTGAAGAGAATCAGTGGTTGAACCAGCTCAGGTTAGTTCCTGTCCATGGAGATGGGTTGGGGATCAAACCAAGGGAAATGTTTCAGAAGTCTCTATATCTAGGGAATTATTTTGCTTCTGGATACCTTGTGTAGAGACACCATAGCTGGAACATTCAGGAGAATAGGACATCCACAATTCCCAGGTCTATTAAAAATCACTTGCCTGGGTCTTTCTATTCTTACTCAGTGTACCTTTCTGCAATAGTGGAATCACAATAGTTTGTAACCTTAAAAAAATGCGTAGAGTTTCTGTTCCCTGATGCCTGTGCTTCATATTCTCCAAACAGAAGCTAATTTCAATGTCCAAATGCAATATTTATTTTATTATCTTCAACCAAAGTAGAAGTTCACTGTCCTGGAGATTCTGAAATTAATATTTTTTTTTCTGTTAATGCAGATCACTCTCTACTCTGAAAGGTTTGAAGAATTTCAGAAAACATTGACCAAAAGCAATGAAGTGTTTGCCACATTCAAACAAGAGATGGAAAAAGTGAGTAGTAACTCATGCCTGAAATTTGTAATTGATACTTTCCTTTTATGTTTCTCACTGCAATAATTGTACCTGAGATGGGACTATTTCTTCACATTTTGAAGAAAGATCTCATCAACATTCAAATAAGATTTGGGACACACTCAGCCACAACTGACAGCAGCTTAGGTTTCAGCTCTGCAAGCTGAACATTTCGTTTTCCCTTTCAGCTAAAACCAAGATTTCCTGTAAGAATAAACACTTTACCTAAAATCTAATATGGTGGTTGGGTACAGATCCCTAAGAGATACCAGGAGTCTGGAGCCACGTTTGTCAGACCATGTCTCCAGGAGTGCTCAGAAGCTTCTGCGTGACTGACACTGGTACAGAGAGCTTGACATAGGCTACACGTCTTTCCACTGGAGTGCCTAGGCAGAGCTGAAGCCCACCAACACCTTTTCACTGTGTGGAAACAGGCCACACAGACTGTTTCCTTGTAGCTGGGGTTCTGAATTCCTGTAGTGAATGGGAGTTAAAAACCAAACACACCAACATGCTATACCTGCTTTCATAATAAACAGTGATCTGCTCTGCCACCAGGGCTCAAAATCTTCATGCCCTGATCCAAGCAGTCTCTAATGATTCTTCACAGAGAGTTCAGTCAGAAAACCAAAGGGAAAAATGGGGCTATTTAGCTAGTGGTGTGTTTTGGAGGTAGTATAGTGGTGACTACTCCAGGGGGAATGTCCTTGGCATTGATGGCTCAGAAGATGCAAGCCCTTCTTTACCTTCCCAGCAATCTAACACTGTGGTCTGGTAAAGAGACAAACAGAATAATTCCTCCATTTCTTTGCCTTTTGTTTTTGTAATAGTTTGTATGCTGAAAGATAGCTATAATCAACTGGTCCTATTTTAGGACTACAGACTAGAGGCTGAAAGTTATATGGCAGCTACTTAAAATGAAATCCATCCCTTAACATAAATTATTACCTAGCATGGACACTACAGCTGCTGGTAGCAGAGTTATGAGTACAGCCAAAGACTCGAATAAAAGGGCTGCCCTATTTTCATCTGCAGCATGAAATTTCTGTTGTGATTCAGCTTTTCTTCCTGCTTCTATAGATGACAAAGAAAATGAAGAAGTTGGAAAAGGATACTGCTACATGGAAATCCAGGTTTGAGAACTGTAACAGAGCATTACTGGACATGATTGAAGAGGTGAGCAGTTTTTCTCACCTTAAGATGCATCTTTTTCCCCAAATAAAGCTTTAACTAGGAGATAAGATAACCTGACACTGCCAAACGTCAGTGAAAATTTTATTTTTGAATCTAAGGGTCTTTTTTTAAAGCTACCTTGATAATTAGATGTCTTTTGAGAAAAAGACAATCCCAGCTGTTAGGGCTTTTATACTGTGCAGACATTCACTATGTCCATAAGAAACTGAATTATGTAACTGTGAATTTTAAGTGCTCTAAAAATGGGTAATTGTTAGTGCTCTCCCAGAAAGGCCAATTGGCATTAGTTGAGTTCATGCTACTTTCTTTCTGCATAAGAGCATCCACCCAGAGAATTAATGTGTTCCAGATAATGAAGTTTAAATTCACACCTTTCATTAACTTCCTGTTTAGGCAAACTCCAAGAGTCCAAAGCAAGTACTGAGTCTCACCATAGTTTTAAACATATTGTCCCAGGGGCATTGCAAAGGAAGTTCATAAGCACATTGGAACTCATTCAAATAAGATAAGAGACTGCCTGAAGTTTCACCCCAAACACGTGCTGAACTTGGACCAGGTCTTTCTGGTTAGCTTTGTAGCTCTGTGCTATTGCTGTTTCTATTTTTATGGTTTTCTGTATTTCTTGTTTCCTCACTGGGTGTAAAAGCAGAAAATGTTCCAATTCAGGTTGCTCTCACAGGACCCAGAAGCAAAACAAACAAAAACTAGAATGCAGCTTGTTTTCCTCCAAAATTCACACCCACACCAACCAAAAGTCCAGGTAGACTTTTGGATGGTTATCTGTATGGACATTCAGTATGTTTTTCCACCTCTACAGATCATCAACAGGTATTCCTGCAAATATTTTTGAGTGAAATTGATCTGAATATATATGGAGAATGCTAATACATTGTAGTAACAGGGATGAATTTCCTCTTGAATCTTTGGTCTAAAAGACCATAGTTATTGTAGAGCAGTTGGTGAAAGCCAGCCACTTGGCAGCATCCTGTGAGGGCTGCTTAGGTCTCAAGTTGTTTCCTAATTGCCAGTTCTACTAATGAACCTTTGTCTGATGTCTTTGACTACAGAAAGCCATGAGGTCCAAGGAATATGAGTGCTTTGTGCTGAAAATCCAGAGACTAGAGAACCTTTGCCGTGCTCTGCAGGAAGAGAGGAATGAATTGTACAAAAAAATAAAGCAAGCACAGTACCCAGAAGAGGTGAATGGAAATGGCATCTTAGAAGAAGAAGAAGAAGAAGAAGATGCTGATACAAGCCCTTCCCCCTCTGAGCAGGCGAGCATTGAGCTGCGTGCGAGTGACAAGAGAATGCTGAAGGAGCTGGCTGAAAGTTTCAGTGTGTCCCACAAGGCAGAGGAGTCCCTCCCAAGCAACAGCAGCAATCCAGAGACCTGTGACACTCAAACGTGTAATGCTGCCCCGGAGCCAGAACTCCCTGCTCCTCTCACCCCACAGTCAGAGTCTGGGAAACACTGTGAGCAGCCCAGCACAAACACACCAATACCCACTGAACACATGCCAGCACCCACTGAAAGTATGACAACACCCACTGGGAACATGCCAAAGCCCACCGAAAGCATGTCCGCACTTCCAGGAAGGGTGCCAATGCCCACAGAAAGTGTGCCAATACCTCCCAAGAGTGTGCCAGTATCCACTGGGAATATGCCAAAACCCATTGAAAGCATGCCAGCAAGCCCCGAAAACATGCCAACACCCACACAAAACATGCCCCCTCCCCTTGGGAGTATGTCAGTACCCATGGAATGTCCACCAAAAGCTACAGAATGTGTGGATGACCCAGCAGATAGATCTGTCCAAGGTCAGTCCACTGAGCAAAGAGGGGACGCAGACATGGAAGCAGTGGATTGAAGACACTGGTGTGTCCAGGCTTGTCTTCTGCAAACCAGAGCTCTGCTTTGTCCTCTAAATGGATACCTTTTTTTTTTTTTAAAGAAACAAAAATGTGAGTGCTAAAACACACTTGCATATCTGAAGGCAAATGTAATGCACTTCTCTTTGCTACCACTATCCAGTAATAATGAGTCTGCAAATTTTGCAATCCTTCATCTGCTTGAAGTATAACATTTTCTTAATGACAGGAAAACACAATAAAATCACAGGATCTTTTTTTCCCAGGCATGATGAGTCATCTAATTCAGCAAAATAATTTTAAAGTGTTGCAGTTTCATGTTTCAAAACTCATTGCAATTCACATACATATATTTAAAGACTCATAAGTAATTCTATCTATTTGTTTTGACATTGACATATGTCCTACTTGGACATACAGTGATTTTAATAAATGAGGTGAAAGGAATCTGTAAGTACAAAGTAAAACAGTGAAACCATAGACGTGGTCAGCCATATCCAAGGAGTAGTGCAACAACCAAAGGTGAATTTTCGTAAGAGGAAATGACCGATCAGCACTGTGGCCTAAACACCCACCAGCTTTCAGCTTTACCTCCCACTGGTCTTTTCTGCTCAGTGTTCTAAAAGAGGTTTTGTTTTCCACAGAACTACAGGGAAGAGGAAAAGATCTTTTCTAGATTCCCATTAAAATAACTAAAAACAACTGAAAAGAAACTTCCAAACTGATGGCAATTCCTAAGGTAGGGGTCACAACCCCCTTTCTGCATCCAACAGAAAACTGCTACTTTGTCATACTGTTTGGGATCATGAGCCCAACAGTGGGGACCATGGCTGTTTCCAGCTCACAAATGAGGTCAGAAGTTGGTTGCAGATCCCAGTTTCTAGGCAAGGAGCAGAAAGCAGACTGGAAGACACCAGGATGTATTCCAGAGGAAAACCCTGAGATCATGCTTCTGGATGGTGGCATCTCTCCCAGTTACAGCCACATGAACCTATTCACCACAGCTTCCTCCTGGCCCTGCTGCTTGTGCTGATGCTCCCAGGAGAAGGGCAAGGACACTCACCTGTCATGCTGTTCATTGGAGCAGAGCACAAGTAAATAGCCCAGAAGCAAATAGGTATCAGGAAAGCCAGAATCCTTTTCACAGACACTCCCAGGGGCTGGCTACATTCTTATCCCCTCTCTTGTCTAACTGGCTCTTCCCGTCTGCCTGCCAACACACCATTGCTTATTAATGCAGCCACCTTGTCAGAAACTGGTTGATTCTAGTGCCAAGAACAGAGATGAGGAAGGAAGGAAACAAGAGAGAGTACCAACCCAGACAGCTGTACATGGTCTCAAGCAAAGAAAGGAAGAAGGCTTTTTGGAAGAAGGTTGAAAAATGTTGGCACATTTCTTGTTTCTCATCTCATTCTTCTGAATTCAATCTAGGCCTTTCAGAGTCTGAACTGGATAGCTTAAGAATTTGAAAAGGGCAATTAAACAAGATGTTCAGAGGCTGGAAAGGGAAATGTTGCAATCAAAGAAACTTATGTTTATAGACAAATCCCAAGAAGACCCTGAAGACAAAGTGACTCATTCAAGCCAAGGTTGACATACAGGTGAACCAAGAAGAAAGATGTCATCTTTGGCAAACCATGGGAAATAGTGGCCACAGAGCCCTTCCAGCACGCCACCCTCCAAAAGTGGGGTTTGAATCTTTGCTTACTGCCAACATGATCCACACCTTGGCTCAGTATGTCTGTGACTGCACTGCCTGGCCCAGCCTTTTCGAGAGCTAACTCTTGGAATATACCGAGCATGAGTTGCAATAGCCTTTTTGGATATGGCCTTATGAGTAGCTATTATGGCTACACTTTTCAAATGTGGATGCCTTATGTTAGATAACAAGACCTACAGGATTTATTTCAGGTCTTTAATCACCTGGTGGCCTAGTGGTTACCATGCAGGACTCTCACTGCTGCAACCCGGGTTCGATTCCTTGGTTCCCCGGGCAGATGGAGCCCGTTAGCCCTGTGAGGCCATCCATCTATGAGAAGGTCACTCTAAACAAACCTACGTCCTGAGGACCTCACTGCCATTGTCCAAGCTTGCTTGGCCCCGGCAGATGAACCTTAGGATTAAAGGGTGGGCTCAGTTCAGCGCAGGCTGTGTCTCACCTAAAAAATCCATTGCGCAGGCTGGAAAGGTAAAAGACCTTTCCCAAAATCTTCGTTCGCGAAGACTGGCCATTATAATCACCTGAAAGTAGATCATTCAAGTCTTAGTTGCCTTAAGCTCCTTTTATAAGCAGTGGAGAAGAAAAGGAATCTTTTGAGGACAAGATATTTCATAGTAATACTGGCATCCAAGACAGAAGGAATTACTTTCTCTCTGAAGATGCCATGTCTCTTCAGATTGTAGAGCCAGTCTAAGACAACTAACGTAAATTTAATGTCTGTGATTAGGTGTTTAAATTAGGCAACATGAATCCCATCAAATGTACAGATTCAAGGCTCTAAGTGAATGGCCATCTCTGAAAACCAAGCCAGTTATGTGCCTACGAAAATGTTAACCTATAACAAACCTTTATCCTAAGATAAAAAGTTATACTCATCCGATACACTTTTTGCAGTTTCCATTGACTTAAGTCTGTAGAAATATAGTTTCCATTATAAGTACAAGTTTTGTTTGTTGTTAGGGTGACTTTTAAAATTAATGCAATTTATATACTTGTTGATGTTTTGGGGTTTTTTTCCTTCTTGATTTTGTTTGATTCTGCTGTCATTTTAGTAATTACCTGCATGAAACCAACTTCTTTTTCTTTAAATAGGCCCTTCTTTTTCTTCAAATAGCCTTCAGTTGTTGAAGTTTTCTTATACATTCAAATATTCAATTCAATAATAATGGCCTTGCAACTTTAGGCTGGTTCCATTTTACACAATCATTATGGTCACATCTTTAATTATGTAATTGTTGCTTTATACCTTCCAACTTCAGTGAGCAGGGAGACAAGGATCCTGCAGATAAAAACTTCCTACATAGTTATGATTTATTCTTACAGCATCATTCCTCCTGAATAATTACGCATCCTTCTGGGAAAATCACTCCCACTCTATTCCGCCTTCCTCATTTTTGCTCTTGTCATTCTAAAACTGGTGTCACATACTTGTAATTCCTATTACTGTGTGAGTTTCTACCCACATACCTGTTGCTTCTCTTCTTTAATACCATGTACCAACTGCATTTTATCCCTGCAGTTTCCTCTTCATTCTCAGTGTGTACATATAACACTGAAAGCACAGGAAAGTGACCCTCCCAGCTGTTTGTTTCAGGATTTGGCTTCGGGAGAAACAAATCGTAGGGAAAATCCTGGCTGATTCGAGGCTGCACAGAGCATTTAGAGTCAAACTATGGGGATGGTTTATGTGTAATCTCGTGGTCTATAGAGGCTGGAGACCCTCAGTAGAGGTGGAAAATCTATACAATTTAACCAAGCACCTGTTTATTGCATCAGACTGGAAGATTAAGCCACCATCACAGGTTTCCGTGTGCTAACCTACTTTCTCTCATTCTTCTTCAAAATTAATTCCTAGCCTTCTCTTGCTCTTTTCTTGCACTGGTACCCAATATAAAACTGCCTCTGCATAGTAGCAGTGTCCTTGTGAAAAGCCTTTGGGATGGCAGTCTGCATAACAGCTCTGCTGCACTTCCCTCAGGTACCTCTGCACTCAAAACACAGAAACCCATGACACTTCTGTGGTCATTTGGAGGCAGTAAGTAGCAGTGAGACGTGTCTTCCCAGTGTTCATCGCTATCGTCATTACCTGTCATTATCCTACTGATACTGCCAGTCTCATCAATCCTGGTGTGTTCTGTGGTTGCCTCCTTCAGTCTTGCTTTTATTTCACATAGTTGTTCCCATACCACCAGGCACAGATTTGGGGGTGAGGAAAGGTGATGATGGTAGCTATTTCTTCCTTACTAAACCCAGCCATTGCTGCACTGCTTCCAAACCAGCAACAGTCTTTATTTGAAAAAGTTGCAAGGAAAGAACAAAAATATTTTCCATTTCTGTATATCTAACCTTTTGTCGCCTCAAAAATCTGACAGATCCCCTGCTGAACATGTAAAACACAACACCTTTCAATAATCAAGAGTTTTTACATATGTGAGAAAATTTTCTTGATGACTGCTAAAATCACATTCGTGACACTAACATGACACCTCTCAGCTAATTTCTGATCCCTGAGGCAGACCACAGAACTGATAAATCCAGTTGATGAGAGATTAGTAAGAAACAGATTATCTGTTTCAGCTTAACTTTTCCCACAAAACTGAACAGAAGTAGACATAGGCATAGAATATACAGTCCAGATGACAGAACTGCAGCAATATTGCAAATCACCCAGAACAGGGACATATGATAAAATACAGTGAAACTTTCATTCTAAGCTTCACTATTAATGCCATCTTTAAATTCACTTTTTCAATCACATTGCAATCAACTGCATACCTAGTTTCATGCTCAGATTCACACCGCCTCTCTCTTTGCAATGAACATCATTGCACTAATCAGTATTGAATTTAGACTTTTCTTCTTACTTGATCAGGAAACATCAGCAGGACTCGTTCTTCATCTGGGCCCACACACTACCCCTGTGTTGCCGTTCATGCCAACATCCACCCATGACCTTTGCTGAGACAAGGGGGAAGCACCAAGGACAGAGATAACCCCTCCCTCCAGGCAGCCTGCCTAGCAACACAGCACGCACCAGCTGGATGAGAGAGTCAGGAGGACAGGAAGGGCAGACACAGAGAAAGGGTGTTTGCTGCACTGGTGGTCTCTCCTCCCCCTGAATTTTTTGCACTAACATCGTTACTGCTGTGCAATGCTGTTTTTTCTGCTTGGAAAATACTTATCACACCCTTGTCAAAGATGCAGGAGGAGACGATGATTGTGGCTGTGGGAGGACAGTGCTGGGCCAGTGCTCAAACCCCAGGGAAACCCAGAAATGTCAACATGCAAAGCCCCCACTGGCTCAGAGCTTCACATGGCTGACAGCTCAGGCCACCCTGCAGCCTGGCTGCTTA